AAAACCACCTTGTGAGTCAAGACCGTCCCAACTTCCCTCACATTCTCTATTTAGTTGAAGCTTGTCACCCATTGTTTTTTAATCCTTTCTCCAGAAAGACCATCCTTTCTGTGTTTTCCATTTTAGCAAAGTCTTTGTTTTCTACTCGAGAACTTTTCACTTTCTCCCTCTCTCTGGCTCCAAACCATCCCACAGACAGTGAGGCAGTGCGAGGGCTGTGTCCCTGTGTCTATCCTTTGTGGCCGATTTTAGTTCTGCGATACTATGACAAATTCCTCCTGTCACTGACTGTGGCCAAGTCATACTGGCCACCCAGGGAGGTCTGCTTTGCTGGCCTCCAGAGAGCTGCATACATGCTTCCTGCTTGTTTTTCCACAAACAGAGGAGGAAGCCTGTGATATTTCCCTTCTTCTTAGGGGCCCAGATTTCCAACAATGGGACTAGTGCTCTAGGGAATTGTGGGAAAGAAGCGCTCTCCTGGATTCCTGTGTCGCGCACTGGAGGCATCTCAGGACCGCACATTCTTTATAGCTTACCGACAAGCCAAGGGAGAGGAGAAAACCTCAGAATACATTGCTTTTTTTTTTTTTTTTTTTTTTGCGAGGGGGAGAGAAAGGTATGGCTGCTTGCAGAAGCATCCCATAAATTTTCCAGGGCTTGGAGCCCTGGAAGGGGCCTGGAGGTTGAAGCTGGTGCTGAAGACAGTGTGGATCCCAGCACTTCCTGGGGTGGGCACAGCACCTGCACCACCAGGCCCCCCTGGCTGCACCCTAATACCTGGGAGAATCTACAGTGTGCAGCCAGTCTCCCCAGCCGAGGTCGCAGGGTCAGCACGGCCCACGGCATATTTGATCTCAGGGAAGGCCTTTGTTCTCTGGAATTCTCTTCATCCCAGAATCACACCAGACGGGCTCTTAGATCTTCAAGGCTGCTGCCCCATCTCTCAAGATAAGTAACAACTCAGCACCAGCTCAGCATGGGCTGCAGAGGGCTTTCAAGTCTCTACAAGGCCCCACCTCAGGAACCTTCCCTCCCAGGAACCCGGCACATGCCTCACGCACTTGCCCCATGCCAAGCTCCAGCCTGCTGCTTTGGGGTCCATTCGCCCGACAGCCTTAGCTCTGGGCTCCCGCTCTTTCGAGCAAAGCAGCAGGGGACAAGGAGTGATATTTCCCTTTCCAGAAACCAGTGTGTGGGCTTTACTCTCAGTCACGGTCAAGAGCAAAGAGAAAGCAGAAGACTCAAATCCTGAAACTCAGGAGTGTTCCCACCACTGACTTACAGTCTGATCCCGGGTCACTTAGTGGGGAAGGTGTCTGGGTTCCAACCCCACATTGGCACTGACAAAGAGAGAGACCTTGAGCAAGCTGTCTAAACACACTGTGCCTCTGTTTTTCTAATCTGTAAATTGGAAGTAATAATAGTTACCTACTCAGGTAGACACAGTGTGTTTCCCATGAGGCCTGTGGACCAAGACATGTGGAGAAGGCCCACAAGTAGGCCCATATAAATAACTGTCTACTCTCTTCGGTAACTGTTTTCAGCTGCTTCTGCTACAAAGCTCTTCCAGCTAAAAGAGCAGCCCCCTTTTTTCTGACCTGACCTTCCCCGGGGAAGAGTCCTTGGCTCAAATGGGCAATGAGGCAGGGGTTCTGGAGCCTAGTAGACAAACAGGGGAGGAGATAAACTTGCCACAAAGAAGACCTATTTCTTAATGGATATCGTTAAGAACCAAGGTAATACCTACTAAAGCCAGAGGTCAACAAGAAGTTAATAAGTAGAAGGGCCGATGTTGAATACAACAAACTGCCTATCCGTTGAAGACTGTATACACCCATAAGCCTCTAGTAAAACGACTCAAAATGGCAAGTGACTCCAACCGCTTCTCTGCCCAACACTCTAATTCAGTGGTTCCCAAACTTGGGCATCAAGTAGAATGCACCTCCAGGCTCCATCCCAGAAAGCCTGACCAGAAGACCTAGACTGGGAGCGAACCAGCCTCCCCAGGAGGGCGGAGGGGTCCAAGGTCCGTGCTCTGGGAAGCATGGCCAGACAGTGAACGCTCTCAGTCCCATCGTGAGTCAGAGGGCAGATGCTCAGGGGAACGGGCCGCATCTAAGCGGTTTTGGAGGAAGGCACAGGGGCCGGCGCCTGCCTCTGTAACAGGCAAGGGAGGCTCTCTTCCCGTTCTAAGTCTGGAAACTAGGGCCCAGGGTCTGCGGGATGAGGGAAGAGCACCATTTATGAGTCCAGTCTTCTGCCATGAAGCCCTTACCAGTGTTAGGATCAGTCCCACGTGAGACTCATGAGACTTCCACCATCCCCAGGAAGAAAACCAGGGTATTAGAAAAGTGGTTTTAGGGCCAAGGGGTGTGGAGACAGCACACCAGGGTGCACGCTCTCAGCACGATTCAGCGTGGCCTTTCTAGGTCCTCCTCCTTCTCACAGAGTGTGTCTGCCACTCTGACTCGTGACTCTGGGCCAAGTCCTACCTGTCGTGTGTGCCTAAGGACCATAAGAGTCAACGGTTCCAGCACCTAGGCTTTCACCTTCCTCAACCAGGACACGTGGAGACGACAAAGAGACAGACTTGAGCTTTAAGAAAACTTTGGCCTGGAACGTTCTGGTGAAAGTCTATGGACTTCCCAGGCCGGGTCCTGAACTGGAGAAAGCAGAAAGGTAGAGCTAAAGTTTCTTTCCAAGCTGGAGTAGCACTTTTTCGCTCACTGCCTTTAAAAGCCTTGTTTGTTTTACGTGAGGACAGAATGATGAAAATAACAGAATTTCAACCAAACCACGAAGGCAGCTTCCCAGGGTCCTGTGTGTGCACCCTGCCCACACAGGGAGCCTGCCACAGTCACCTGGGAAGTCAGGAATTCTATCAGAGCGCGCCGAGGGTGGGGTGGGGATACAGTGTGTTCCCTGGGATTCTAGTCCCAGTTGGAACATCTGTGTCCACAACGGAAGAGACTGCCAATGACCCGTGTTCTGTCAAGTTTGGTGAAGAGTGGCTCCAACTACTTAAACCCAACTTACAAAATCCCATTTGCAATCACAAGTGCAGTGCCAGGGCCGGCAAGGCAGCTCTAAATGCACCTGAGCGCCTCCCAGCCCTGCTGTTCCAGGGCCAGACTCCGACCGGGGAGAAAACGCAGGGTTTCTGCCACTGTGCACCCACATGGGTTACAACGGATACACTCTGGTTCTGCTCGCCCCTCGCCCCGCCCACTCCCCCAAAGCCTCTCATTTAAAGGCAGGAGAAGACTCTCCCCCAAGGATGGTACCCAGACACCAGCTTCCAAGGCCACAAACCCGTTTCTTCTGGGTACCCCGGTGCCTCCCACGCCACGTGACTGACAGCCTTCCCTCTAGAAGCCAGAGTTTTGCTCAAGCTTAGGAGAGGATGCCGCAGGCTACGTTTTAAATTACTGGCTTTCGTGGGCGGCCCCCGCCTGTAACGCACACGACAGAAGTGGGGACCCCAAGGGAAGGCAAACTTGAGGAGTTCTCCCGGAAAGGCCAGCTCTCTGGGAACCTGGGCTGGGTCATGGCCGCGCGCGCGCTCGCGTGTATACACACACACACACACACACACACACACACACACACACACTCTCAGGTGAGCACGCATGAACTGCCTTGTGCTGAGGCCACTCTGTGTCCCTGCCACACTCTTGCCCGCGAATCAGAGCCCGTGAACGGGACCCAGGACTTACCGCCAGGACGCTCTGGGCCAGGAGCCCCACTGTCACAGCCCCCAGCAGCAGCCACCTGGAGGGAGGGAGAGGGAGCGCCATGAGCGCGCCGGCTCGGCTGGGCAATCCCCGGGTCACCCGCAAGGCCCCCCGCGCGCAGGACCCACGGGGACGCGGCCGAAGGTGGCTTACCGCCGCAGGGCAGGGCTGGACGCCAAGCACTGGTGACGGTCCATGCTTCCGATCCGGCCTCCCCGGGCGCCGCTCGGTCCCTCCTAGCCTGGAGGGCGAGAGACAAAGCGGCCTCAGCAGGGGCTGGGGAGGGAGCATCCCGGGCCCCCCGGCCCCCAGCCGCGGGAAAGCTGGGCGCGCCCCCGCGCCCCTGTAGGGGTGACAGAGAGCGGCCCCGAGACCAGACGCAAGAAGGGGGAGCCCTCCACTTAGGCCCCGCTCGGCGCTACTTCGCTGAGGCCGCCCGGCGCCCCCCCGCCTCCTCCCCAGCAGAAGCGCGCACGGCCCCCGTCTGCTGCGGGCTCCCCGAGTCCCAGCCCCCGGCCCGGGGCTCGTTGTCCCCGGGGCCGCCCTCACC